AGATAAGATTTTGTCTTGATTGCAGGTAGAAAATCCACTCACATAGAGGAGGTATTTATTCCTAAGGTTTATTCTTCATAGAATTCGGCTTGATAGTTTTTTATTAGAATCAGATATAAAAAGATTAAGCTTAATGTTAAATGGCATCTTTTCTGGTATATAATCAGTATCTTCAGTGATTTTTTTCTGAGTAGCAAAACATAATACTTTTGGGAACTAGATTCCATTCCTTTATTTAGTATAAATGCTAGAATTATTAACCCATTGTTGAAAATACCATTTAATCTTTAGGAATAAGTCACTCCTGATTGTTTTCTGAGACATTTCATCTTCAGAGGATTTAAGTAAAATAATTGAAAAATTTATGTTTTCTAAGGAATTGTCAGAATAAGAACATTTGAATAAGAACATAGATCCTGTGACTGTCTTGTAACACAAATGAGCAGGGTTTTTAATTCCCATAGTGATCTGAGAGGGGGCATGTGCAGAAGAGAGCACCGCACACGCATGCCCCTTGCTCCACGCATGCGTAAGAGGGAGTGCGCCTCTAATTTGCCTGCCTTCCACGCTTCCGGCATCGGCCTGGCCTTGCCACTATGTGTGATCCCCTCTCCCCTGTGGAGCCCTGCCTTCTAGATGAGCTTGTCAACTTCCTTGGGAACATATGGGCTTACCTTGCCCTTCTCCTTTCTTCTCATCTATTGGCTCCATCCAAAATCTCTCCTCTTCCATGAAAACCATCCCTGAACTCACCCCTTTTCTTCATTAACTTGGAATACAGATCAACATATCCCATCATTTAGTTACATCAAAAAGTCAAACAAGTTTGTGTGGCTTCCATAAGAGCTCAGAACCAAGGCCAGCTGCTGTGGTAAATACCAGGGACATCTTTCTAAGTGTTTCTCGGCTCAAAGGATGAAAATAGCGGTGGAATTTTGAACATGTGAAAACAAGACATTGAAACTTGAAATGTAGTTAAGCAGTGTAAGAATGAATTTCATGTATGCACTGTAAAGTTTCATTAAAAAAGAAAGTGTGAAGGGTCAGGGATGTAACTCAGCTGCATCAATGGCTACCTGGCAAGGTCCTGAGTTCCACTCCCAGTTTAGAAAAAAAAAGTGCCATGAAATATGTAAGAAATCAAGATATTTTTCTGAAACACAAAAAGTAAAAACAAAAACATGTATACTCAGCTATAAAGACAGACAAGCTCAAAGCCTTTACAGGTAAGTGGCTGCAACTACAGGCTGTACTCATAAGTGAAATAAATCAGACCCACATGTGTAAATATCATATTGTCCCCCTAGTGTAAGATCCTGAAAGAAGAAATAAAACCTGAAAGGTATAATAGATATAGTAAAACAAAGAATCTGAACTAAAGGATTAACTAACAAAGATGAGAAAGGAGAAAAGATAGGGAAAAAGGAAGGACGGAAAACATGCAAGTATATACACAGGATGGCTGAGATGATCGTACTCATAATTTCCATTAGTTTTTTGAAAACAGCAGTTAATGTTGGAATTTTCACCTTGACTAACTCTGTACGCTGAGATCTGTGGTCTGAGCACCTACCTCAAGGACAGCAGTGTGCTATACAAAACCCACAGCGGAATGCCTCGCATCTTGGTCGTCTAAATGTGTGCCATTCCTAATGTCTTATCGATAATTATGCTATCTTTAAAATAAGTTAAAACAAAAAAGACAAGGAAAATAATTAAGATTGCTTGAAAGCAAGCACCAATATTCTATTATTTCCCAAATCTTGTATCTCTGTTAATCTGTACAACAGAATTGAAGATAAAAATAGATAATGTAACAACATTGTTAATTAGCTATTCCTGTTTTGAAAATCTATAACAAATACATTGCTATATGTTACCCTTTCTGTCTTTTTTTCTATTCGTTTTTGTGTCTGCTTTTACTCTTCAAAATTGTGTGTGTGTGTGTGTGTGTGTGTGTGTGTGTGTGTGTGTGTTTTAAGGGTCTGTAGGGTGTTCAGGATCTCACTACTAAATCAGACTGGTAGTGATCTTCTTGTTTACAGCCTCCCGAGAGCTGGGAATACAGGCACATGCCACCACGTCCAATTTCAATTGCCATCTCAGTGCCGCAGGAGTCAGGGCCAGCACAGCAGACCCGGGGATTGAACCCCCGGCCCCTGCACCTGCTTGCAGGCACTTTAATCTGTTGAGCTATTTGGCCAGCCCTTCAAAATAAGATTTTAAAAAATGTAAAAGAAGAAAAATAGAAAATTGAAGAGCAAAAGCTAATAAAATAGAAATCAGAACAACGGCAAGCAATGAAACACAACATTGATTCTCTATTAAAAAAATAAAATAAAATGAGTGGATCCACAGAGCGTGTGAAAAACAAACTACCGCTGGACAGCAAGAAAATTCAACTTACACTCACAGTTGGCTGCTACGACACATTTACTAGGAAGTTTACAATTTTCGAAAGGTTAATATTAGTGTTGCTCCTCTTAAATGTCCTCGTGGTAGTGTGATGGGGACCTCTGCTTGGTCACTCCGCCCTGCATTGGTTAAGATTCCTGTTATTCCAGATCGGATTATTAGTGTCTGTGATTATAGACATGTCTCAGTCATGTCCTCTTCCAATATTGCTTTCTCCTCACTTTATCTATTTCTCTTAAAAATCAAATTAGACTTCTATTAAAACTCACTCTCCTGAAGGTGGTTCCCTTCTATTTCCTATTCCTTTGTCTCTCTGGGTGAATTCTGAGTATTTCTTCAGATATCTATTACCAGTTTACTCTTCACTCTTTAACTATGTCTGAACAATCCACTTTGTATTTTCCAATCACTTTTTCTTGTTTTTCAAATACAACTTGATTTTTAAAAATCAGTATCAGAGGAAGCCTGGAGGAATGAGTAATGTCAGCCCACACAGGAGTGTACCTGTGTCTAAGGCGGTGGCACTGATTTGTGGACCTTGCTTTCACCTGTGCCTTCCAACTATCCTAATGGCTTTATCTGCACTTTAACCTAGAGCGAGGCTCAGGCTTACATCACGTGCGTCCATCCTGCCATGCAGTGCTTCAGGGGTAGTGCTGGACCATACGCTCTCAAGCCCTGGACCTTGCCAGATACACGATTCCCTCAGCAGAACTAGAACTGCCCTTACTCTGCAAGGAGCTTGGCATTCGGTGCACACTCTACAGAGCTTGTCTGAGTGCCGCTCGCTTCCTGGAATCCCTCCCCTGGGACATCTTAGGGTGCTGTCATTTGGTCAGCAGTGAAGCCACACCCTCCTACCCAACTCCCCCAGCCTCGCACCCACTAGGCTGTAACAGCCCAGCAGAAGCACGACCCCCGACTGCCCGTGCTCTGGGAGGCCTTCCTTTTCATGAGATTTGGAGGCTCATAAACATTGATTGTTTAATCTGATACTTTCTTGACTTCTTGTCATAGGCTTGGCTCTATTTTGGGTTACTGCTTGGATAACCCGTAGTTAGTTTCCTTAAAATAGGAAGCTTGTTACTAACCGGTTATAGGCAATTTTTTTGCTGCTATGTGGAATTAGATGTATTAATGGTGGAATGTGCTGCACCTCCCTTCCTTCCCCCCTCCCTCCCTCCTTCTCTCCCTCCTTCTCTCCCTCCTTCCTCCTTCCTTTCTTCCTTTCTTTCTCTCATCCTTTCCTCCCTCCTTACTTTTTCCTCCCTCCCTTGCCCTTCTCTCTTCTTTCCTCCCTCCTTCTTTCTTGATAACACTGACTCCTTGAAAATATCAGGACCACCCACTACTTTAGACATTCTTTGTTCTGATTTTTCTCTCCAGAATATTGTCTAATGTGTTCTCTGTGTCCAGTATTTGATTAAACTCAATGTTCAGTCTTTAAGTTTCTAAACAACATTTATTTATTTATTTATTTATTTATTTATTTAGTCCAGGGTCTCGTTACACAGCTCAGACTCATAGGGATCCTCTTGTCCCAGCCTCCCCAGTGCCGGGATTACAGGTGTGTGCCACTGTGCCCTGTTTCAATGCTCAGTCTTTGACAGAGCTGAATTCCAACTGCTGTGTATACCGCACACCATCTGGGCAGAAAGCATAAGAGAACTAGATGTCCCAATGTGAATGAAAGGTTCTAAATGTCATCTGTGGGTTTGCTGATGACAGCCCCCGTTGCTCGTGTTGAAGTTCTTGTTCTTCTCTTATAACTCTGTGGTGAGATTCTTAGATGTCAAAGCAGCTTCCTCTTGCCCGCCCATCCTCCATCTAATGGTTGGTAAGAACCTCCAAGCAATCTTACCTGACTCAGTTATTTCAGTGAGGTGTACTGATTCTATGTAAATAGTTTCTACTGTTTTGCTCTTTAAAGATGTAAACAATGCAATCTGCAGAGAGAACAATACATCTTTGAGAAATTATGACTGAGAAGATAGAAGACTTAAATGGGTCTGGTATTACTCTTTCAGAACTTGTAGTTTGGGATGGGTTCATTTAACATTTCCATGGATATGAAGCATGACAACACAGCGCTTTCCACTGACTTTGTTTTTGTTTTTTTGCGGAACCGGGGATTGAACTCAGGCCCTTGAGCTTGCCAGGGAAGCGCTTATTCCACTGAGCCATCTCCTCAGCCCCTCCACTGACTTTGATTAAGCCATATTTAAGTTGAAATTTAGCAGAGTACTCAGGTGACATTTGCAAGTACAAACTCCCACAATCACCAGGACTAGAAGTCTATTGATCAGAGCCCGCCAAGAGAACTCTGTGGAGCTTGTATATCAAAGTAGAATACAAAGAAATGAAACAGGAAAGTGTGGAGAAAGCACTGGAAGATTGCAAGGGTTTGTTGTTTTTTCTCTAATTCAATAAGATTAGATTTAAAATGGTTTCAATTGCATTGAAATGTGAGAAATGTCTACAAGATATCAAAAATATCCTGTTTTAAATGAATCCCAAAGTGCTCCTTAAGCAGAAGCCGCCTTTCTGACTGAAATTCTTATTTGAACTCTTATCTTCTTTTGCAGCTGCACCTGGAAAGAAGGAAGAGAAAGCAGCCAAGACAGTGGAGCAAGGTAAAAAAAAAATGAAGGAGGGTGACAATACCTTCCTTAGAAAGACTACGCCATGCGGAGCACAGCCCTGGATTCAAACAGGCGGAAGACAATGCCCTTAAAACCCACCACTCTCTATCACTGGCCTTGCCTGTGATTCTGAGGCGGGGGGGGGGGGGAGCCATCTAGATCTGTCTTTCTTTAGTGTGAAAGGATGAGTGTAAATCAGAATAGGAGAACTCCCACGCCTGCTTGGTACTTCCAAATGCCACAGACTGTCCGCATAAGCGAAATAAGCGGGGCAACAGCAGATGTCTTTCTGTTGGATTTTTGGTTCCCACACATCCTCACTGATGAATTTTGAAAAATAAGAAGAACTCAGTGCTACTTATGACATGACAATGTAAATTGCTTGCAAAATAATGTGTAAAAGCTATGATGCAGGAGAGAAAGCAACAGCAAAAATAGTCCGGCTAAGTTTATTCGATGACTTCAGCTGTTGGTTCTCCATCACGGCCTGCAGCTTCAATGTTATAAATTATGATGCCAGAAAATGGTTATACATTTTCCTTTCACGCAGCTATAACAAAATTAGGTCTAACTGGAATGTGCCTGAGAGGCTCTGACGCAGCAAATGGCCTGAGGTTGTTTAAAACGATAGTGCGCCTTCTCGCGAAGTTCTAAAAGTGCCGAGCACTTCAGATTTTGTTCCTCACCATTCGCCCGTTTACAGTATATCATATACATTTATTGTTTTTCAAAATTAATGAGTTTGTTGATAAATTTTAGATATAAGAGTTATCACAGTCATCGTAGGGAATTTGTACCTGTACATGATGTAAGTTGATTCTTTTTTCCCATGCTCCATTTATTATTTATTATGAAAAAAATTAGAACTGGTCATAATTTTGTTCAAAGAAAAATCCTTCCTCCGAAATTTGAGATGCAAATAGATTCCCAATATCCTAAAGATAGGCTTTTTGATGTCTATTCATTGGAAAACTCATTTCCTCATATTTTCTGATAAGTGAAGTAAGGTTAAAGATTCTATTAAAAGATTGTTTGAGGGTTTAGCTCCTTGTGCTTTTCAAAATAAAATCACATTTAAATTGCTTAGTAAAGTTTTCCAATTTGTTTTAACTTCTGGGTACCATTTGAAATTACAGAATTGAATAGAATGATTTCTACACCATCTTTTTCAAGAAAAATATCTTAGTACCTGGAATAAAAGTAGGAGAAATGTATCCGCTTGTTTACTCATGCAAGTTTCTGGGCCTAAATTTCTTTAAGGATGAATACAACTATAGGAGACCTAGATAACTGACAAGTTAGTATGTAGCTCAGTCAGTGAAACATTTATAAATGTATGGAAAAATTATAAATTACTGACTTTGCTGTAGTTAGATAATTTTCTATACAGCTCAGATAAATTATGAAACAGCTGAATCCTCTGAGCTTCTGGAAAGGTGGTGAGTGCTTCTGGAGGTCATGGATTACTTTTTATTCCAAAGCACATTAGCAGTATCTTGCTCAAATCCCAAACCCCAACACTATCAATGACAGCACCCAGCAGATGACTGATTCAAGCACTGAGCATTTTATTGCTTCTTACCTGCATGTTGGTATCAGTTTCTTTAATGAAGTTTCCTCAAGTGGACAAAAGACTGGAAACCACTCTTCAAGATGTGAACATACTCATTCAGATGGTTTTATAGTTAGTGTAACTAACATGCTCCCCTATCTTATGAAACCTTGCAGTCTTGGCTTGTACAAAAATATATAAAGTTTCTGTCAGTGGCTCTTTTCACATTGATTTAGTAAGTCATTTCAGTTTTCAGTTTGTGTGCAAGTGCCTTCATATTTTTCAACTGCAAAAATAATATGAAATAATGCATTAAGATTATTATTTATTTTGTAATGGTATGTCCTTGACTAAGTGTTAATGTGAAAATGGATATATAAGACTAATAAAGCAGGGAGTTGTGGGAATAAGTAGCAAATAATTACTGATCTCATCATAGGATTCTAATATTCATAAGATGATGCTTTAAGATGTTGTGTACTTTTCTTTCTGACATATATAGATAGATAGATAAAGAGATTTTTAGTTACCTTCAGAAATATAAGTAACCTAGAAATATTTCACAATGCACTGAAATATAGTTAGTCATTCAAGATATGTGGTCATTCACTTAAACTTGAATTTTCAACTTCATTATGGAAAAGTCTTTATGATTTCTACTTGTTAATAGGTTTCAAGTGTACTTTTATAATCTAAATTTGTAATTTAAAGCTCTGGACATAGTCTGCATTATAGAAACATTAGTCAAGATAAACTTTATTTCATGAGAAATTCACACTGTGAAAGCCAAAATGAATTTGATGTTCACATAATTTAGCAAACTGGAATCCATAACATGTAAGTTATTTACATAAAAAACAAGATACTTAGTTTAAGTTCTGCAGAACTCAAAGAAAGACTATATTACTTCTGGTTGACAATGAACTGGACACTTTTTAATTATTTTCCTCATAAAGATCTAAGGCTAATTAAAACACAGCCTTTGTTATTACAAGACATGTTATGCCTTACCACATTTTGAAGGCACACACCTGTGCACACACATGAGCGGAAATTCGCAGCCATCGACTGTTTCCCTGCTTACGAGGGCGCTCTCAGGGAACGGCCCCTCAGCACATGTTTTCCTTAGTCCATATGACCATTATGGGTGCACCAAGGAAGTCTAAAACTAAAAGCTGCACAAAACGCTCCACACGACAGCTATTCATCTTTTTACATTTGTTTAAAGGTGAATTTCATGTCACCAGTGCAGCGGCTCTCTTAGGCGAGTTGCTTTTGTGCTGAGATTTCATTTCTGACATTTGGTGCCAGCTGAGGGGGAGGCGAAGCAGCCTCCACAGCAGCCTCCAGGGCAGACGCAAAACCAGTCAACACCACTAACCTTAAAATCTGCATTGTAGGTCTGCGGTCGGTGGCGTCTCCTTATTTTTGAACTTTCTTCCTTTAAAGTAACTGAAGTTCAGCAGGGAAAAGGTACAAAGTAGCTCTAAATCAAGTGACTCATAGGTCTTCCTTCTTTCCCTCTTTCATTCATCTTCATGTGTGATATTACGTGAGGCTTCCTTTAGCATTTTGTAAAGAGCCTATAATCTGGCCTGAATACAGGAAGGGTTAAACAGATACTTGGGGCTTGAAAATACACATGGAGGGACCAGGGAGATGGCTCAGTGACACGGGGTCTGCCTGGCAAGCGCAAGGTCCTGAGTTTGATTCCTGGTACCAAAATGTAAAAAAGGAAAAAGAAAATAAGCATGGGGTACTTACTGAAGAAAGGAATAGTAAGTGATTCAGATTTTAACACATCATGTAATGAAAAAATATTTTGTATCTCAAAATAAAACTTCCAATGTTGAAGATGGCTAATATTTTAGAAATTAGAATATTAATAGTTAAATATTTTCTTTGTCCCCTTAAAATTAGAATGAGTGGACAACAATTAGTTGTTAAATATTAGTCATTATGTCACTTTTTAGATATTTGAATTTGGAATTGCTACTTTTTCAGTTACGCAACAGAGTTACAGACAAAGATACGGAAAATGAAATTTTAGTAACTACAGCTATTATATTTTGAAATTATTTTAAAAACATAAATTCAGAACACTGCAACCTCACCTTTTGCTTTTTCATGGGTAGAACTATGAGACTAACATGTCCACAGGTTAGAGAAAAAAAAATTATTCAGCAGAGTTTTTAAACAGTATGTGTCTTAGATCAAGATACGGAGGCTCCTTTATTCTAAAAGAGGACTGATCCAGGTAGATTTTAGATTCTAAGACTCAAATGCTAAGGAATTCCATACTTTATTAGCATCAATATTTACTGATACTTGAGTATCTCAAATTCATTTCAAAGGAATATTTCAAAATTTTTAGTTTTATTCATTTAACAATTAAAAGTCACTCCAAATTCCAATTCAGTAGAAGCATGACAAATATTTTTAAAAGATTAAATAGAACCTAATTGCCTACTAATCATTAAGAATAAATCTGAGGGCCACAGTAGATAGCTCAGAGGCAGAAGTTCCTGCCTACCAGGTACAAGTTCCTGGATTCAAACACCACCTCAAAAAAAAAAAAAAAAAAAATCTGATCACAGTTGGAAATCATTTGGCTAAGAACGAAGTCGCAGAGTGTGGAGCACGTGTCTGTCAGAGCTCATTCCCTCTGGCAGGTGATTCAGTCCTTCTTTACGCCGAGAAATGATTCAGAATTCACAAGCAAACCAATTTAGGCCCAGCTAAAGGTAACCTCTTCACCTTTGCCTTTGACATGTTTCTGTGAACAGTGGCGTTCTAGATAATTGTAATAGGGTTTTAAATTGGCACCGGAGCAGGTGACACTCAAGTACTTTGCATGTTGCTGTCCTCATCCACCTAATCAGAGTTTTCTATTGTTTGTGCACGTGTTTTTTTGAATCTACAATGTGTCGTTATTGAAGATTTATCGCATAGTTTCACATGAATGTTGATAATATCTAAGAGTAAGCATTTCTCTGAAAGCATATTTATTTCAATAATAGTGTTTCTATTTTGGTTTGTCAAAATTATAAAAAAAGATTTCATATCTAAACTTCAATAGAGTAACACTGTGAGCTTAGTTATCACAAATTGTGTTAATCCTTCTCTCCTTCTGTGATGATGAAATGACCGATGTGCTCATGCTGTTGACCCTCAATAAATGTTAAATGATAATAACAATACTAGTGATTCCTGTGAATTTCAAATTTCTGCAGAACAGTTTCTTTTATGATTGTTTAATATTTATTGAGCGCCCACAACAGGTTAGGTGCTGGTGAAGGGGCGTGGAAAGGCTGTGGCCAGCAGCGGAGAGAAATCACTCTCCACCTCTCCCCTGAACCTGAGCTGCAGGCCGGCTCCATACTTGCACATGGTCAAGGGAAGCTGAGCCAAGCACAGCTACCCTTGTGCACATAGTGTG